CTTGGTGGCAATATTGTCAATTTGTCATTAATGATTATAAAGATTGATAAAGTATTGAAGTTTAGTTCGTTGTATAACCTTTTGAATACCACTCGATGTCTCAGGATTACCTAATACTTTTACCTGACACTCAACGCGTTACCAGCAACACCACTCCTCCTTCGGAGTCGTGGTGTTGTTGCGTAACAGGTTTCGTGACAGGTAAAAGTATTATCCGGTAATCCTGAAACCTCTTGTGGTATTACATTCGATAATCTTGACAAAGCGTCAGCATTGGCATGGTTTGAAGTTGAACGTTGAATAATTTTGAAATCAAAATTGAGTGCAGTGTAACATTCTTGTAGCAACCATTGAAGGTTAATGCTTTTCTGGGCTAAATATTGTTGAAACTAAAGGTTTTTGATCCGTAATAGGCTTATAATTATATTAATTATAATTAATTTTAGTATAATTAGGCCTTAATTAAGTCATAATTAGATATTTTATTCGATTTTGAATGGTTTTTGTTGTTTGCGATTGCAGCGCCATCTAGTGACAAATGCGTGTAGTTTCAATTATTGTTTCGAAATGGTTACTCGCTTTTCTTTCGAGTGCCGGTTTTTCGTTGAATTTTCCAGTTTTCAATTAGAAAAATTATATAAAAATGTTCGGAAAAGTGTCGTGGTTCGAATTCTGTGTTTATTTCACCTGGAAAATTAAATTTCTAAGCGGGGGCCGCAGTTTTGAGAGGTGAGTGCAAGAAATTCCATTACTTATTATAATTGCGAAAACCATTGGTAAAATTAGTGCAAAAAAACATGTATTTCCGTCACTTTCTTTCACATGCTAGTAGAAAAGGACACGAATACACTCAGTGTGCACTCAGGGTTGCCAGGTCGAAAAAAAATTATTCATGAGAAAATACAGCATGAGATTCTCAGTAAAAATCATGAGATGACTAATTTTATCGGGAATCGACAAAAAAATGCGTCTATTTTAATAATATGTGTTTTTATTGGATAAAAAAATAACTTTCATCTGAAAAATACAACACAAAACATAAAATATAACAGAAAACACCTCAAAACACAAAAATTACTTAATAGGTAGGTAAGGTAGGTACCTACTTCCTATATTAGGCGTAACGTCATTCCAGAAGTTAACTTTTGGTTATTCGGTCAATTTTTTCAAATAATACCCGTCATAAAGTTAACGCATTTAACCTGTTTCTTGGTTCTGATTTATGTATATTAGGTCTCTTCACACAGAAATCACGAACCAGTCAAAGTGAATTTCATTGGTTGAAACAAGTTTTCTGACTGTCTTCAACCAATGAAATTCGCTGTAGCTAATTTGTAATTTCTGTGCGAACAAACCTATAAATTATAGAAAATATTCATTCTACGCAAGCGCTTGAATGTGATAATGGTAAAATATCAAATACAAAGTTTTAATTTTAAATGAAAATAATAGAATTACCGGAGTATTGCGCCAAAAATCATGAGATTTTTATTGAAAATCATGGAATCATGAAAAATGTGTCCAAATCATGAGATCTCATGAAAAATCATGAGACCTGGCAACCTTGAACATTATTCAAGTCTATGCCCCTACTACTGACCATGATGATGACGAAGAGTCGAAGAATTCTACCAATAAATTAAAGCATTAATGAAGGTGACAAAAAAGACGAAAACACTATAATTATGAGAGATTGGAATGCAAAAGTGGGCAGAGAAACAACAGAAGATGTTACCGGACAGTACGGCCTCGGAATACGTAACAACAGAGGAACACGACTTGTACAGTTTTGCCAAGAAGAAGAATTCGTGACTACAAATACGTAGTAAAATCTTCCATATAGGAGACTGTACACATAGACGTCCCCCCAACACTCACAGAAAAACATTGTAAGAAATCAGATCGACTTCATCCTGATCAACCGGCGATTCCGGAATTGCAATAAATCAATGAAAACCTATCTTGGAGCTGACGTGCACCCTGATCATAACTTACTCTGCTCAGTACTAGGCGTAAAATTAAAAAGGAAAGAAAACCAGCGAATACAACAACATATACTAAAGGACCCCGAAACCTTCAAAGAACTTATCAAGGAAATAAATACAACTATATCACTCTCCCTTGATAACAAAAGTGTCCAAAAAATTTGGCAAGATCTCAAAACTTCTTTGAGAAATGGAAGAGTTCAGCAGCTGGTAAAACCAAAGGGGAAAAAAAGCAAAAAAGAATGGATGACGCAGGACATATTGAACCTTATGGAGGAGAGACGAAAACACAAAAACAACAATCATAGTGAGTACAAGAGGCAGGTAATACGCAAAAAAGTTAGGGAAGCAAAGGAAGTGTGGCTCCAGGAATCCTGCAAGGAAATAGAGCAGCTTCAGACCATACACGATGCCTTTAACTTACATAAAAAGATACAAGAACTTTCTGGCATATACAAAAAGTAATTTAGACTATTATGATATGCGCCTATCATAGTCAAGCAGCTGTATGATAGTGTTACAGATGAAATACTTATAGAAAGGGGCGTAAGACAAGGATGTTTTCTGTCACCCCTGTTGTTCAACCTCTATTCAGAGAACATATTTCGTGAGGCTTCACATGACAGGGCATCAGAGGGAGTAAAGATAGGAAGCGAATTATAAGATATGCAGATGACACTGCCATCATTGCGGAAAATATAGAAGACTTGCAAATACTGCTGGATAGAGTGCATGAGGCTAGACAAAGTTGGGGTATTAATATAAACATCAAGAAAACGAAATGGATGACCGTAGGTAAAATAAACATCGAACCAACTCCGATTACAATCAACGGACACAACATTGAACTAGTTCCACTTTTCGAATACTTGGACAGCTGGCTAAACAGTGAAGCTACGTGCGACGAATAGGTGAAAGCAGGGATTGAAATGTCACGTAGGATATAAATTGAAACCAACTCTCATCAATTGAAACCTCACAGTCCAGAGGCGGTTAAGAACACTCAGCTGTTACGTATGGAGCATTCTCTTGTACGAATGTGTGACATGGACATTTAAACCTGACACCATGTACAAAATAGAAGCGTATGAAATGTGGTGCTATCGGAGAATCCTCAAAACCCTTTAGACCGCACATACCAGCAATGAAGAGATACTTAGACAGCTGAATAAGGACCGATCTCTGAGCACCATAAAAATAAGAAAGATTTGTTATTCCGGACATATAATGCGAGGCACCAAATATCACATCCCTCGCCTGATCATCCAGAAAAAGGTTGAGGGCAGAAAATGGATATGTCGCAAAAAACTGTCATGTCTAGGAAACATTAGAAATTGGACCAGATTGTCATGAAGATAGCCCACGCTTAAAAACAGGCACGGCATCGAAAGAAGAGGTTCCAAACTTCCTGAGCAGCGATTTTCTATTTGTTTTTTCATACTAAAGTTACTTTAATTAAATTTGTCACAATCTAATTCGCCACAAGGTAGGAATGTTTTGATTTCCATGTCAGGACTTTTCCTAATGTGTAAGAAACTGTTCTGCATTGTGGTGATAAAACTTACTCAAATCCATTTTTCCAAATTCAAAATTAGCTTTATTGTCATAAAAAATAAACATTTGTAGACAAAGCCTTAACATAAAAAGATACAATAAAGAAAATAAAAAAAGTAAATATAAATGCATGTCATGTTATAAATAAAAAGAAGAGAAAAGTTCATAGAAAAGTTTTAAAATTAAATAAATATTACCCTAAAAATAGCAAATAAAAGTAGAATACAATACAGCTGAAAGTCGGAAAGAAACAGAGTTCCTACATAAAAATTTAATAAAAATGTATAAAATTAAAAGCATAAATTTAAACAGAATGTGTATACTGGACAAAGTAAAAATAATATAAACAACAATATCATAAACAAACAACACACTTATCTTAATAAAACACAATTCAAAAAATTTAACAGAAAAGAAGCACAAAAACGGATCAAAAGGAGAAAAAATATATATATATATATATATATATATATATATATATATATATATATATATATATATATATATATATATATATATATATATATATATATATATATATATATATATATATATATATATATATATATATATATATATATATATATATATATATAACAAAATCAATTAAAGCTATCATTGAAAAACTCATTCAAAGTATAATATGCCTTTTTGAGCAAAAGATCTCTGGAGTGCTTTTTGAACTGTTTTTCGGAATTAATCGTTCTTAAGTTAAGAGGCAAATGGTTGAACATTTTCTTACCACAGTAAACAACACAACTCCTAACAAGTTCCGACCGAGGTAAAGGCAACCTAATATTGAAATTTTGTCTGGTATCATAAGGATTATCACGTAAATGACTGGACTTATATTTTCGAAAAACAAGACAGACAGTTTCAAGAATAAAAATACAACTAACAGTCAACAATACATGTTTCAAGAAAAATGGACGACACGAATCACGAGGTTTAGCATAACACATATAACGCACAGCTCTTTTTTGCAAAACAAATACAGAATTAAATAAAAAGTCAGAACAGCAACCCCAAAAGCATATTCCATAGCGGATATGGCTCTCAACCAGTGCATAGTACGCACTTTTAGCAATAGAAAAATCCAGATTGTTTGAGATTAATCTGATTGCATAACAACCCGACGATATTTTGGAACAAAGGCTTATAATATGTTGCTCGAACTTTAAACTACAGTCAATCGACAACCCCAAAAACTTGTTATGATTTGGTGTGGAAATAGGTTCACCATCCAAGAACACGGCATCAACACTACATTTAAAGGACAAAATGTTTGTCTTAGAAATATTAAAAGATAGCAAATTACAGTCGATTAATAAAAAATCGTACGAGGTCTTCGACACCACCTGCTGGCCGATTCGCGGTACTCCTGCTCCTCCTCGGTAGCCAAGTAGTCTTCGGAATATTTAATTGTCCTTGGCGATCAGGTCTGGCCGATCTGCAGGACACCGGCTATATAATCAGATAGCGAAGTCACTGGCGCGAGAGTACGACTAAGCACAGACACACTGGCGGCAGTACTACCTCAATTTTTTTTCTTTGGTTGCCGGTTTCATTCATAATAATTTTTGTTGAACGTGAAGGTGATTTGGGTCGGTGCAAAAAAAGTGGTTCACTTGTATATTGAATTTTATTGGTTTTGAATTTAGTTGACACATTTTTTTGGGACGTTTTGAATAAAGGTGAGTCGATTTTTTATGTATGTGTAAATAATTGAAATTATAACATAGTAAAGAAGGAAAAGCTTTTCCTAAATAATGTTTTGCTTCTATCATGTATTCTAATAGGATGAATAAGATTTTTATTCAAAAAATTAGTATTACTGTTAGAGAGCGCCCACTGGTACCAATAAATTTAGAAATTATTTCACAGATGGTTCTATAATGAGCAAAAGATTGAATTTCTAAAATAAACCAGACGATCATAAAACAAACCAGCATTTTAATTGTCGAATTATTTAAATTAGCCAAAAAATTTTGATTCTCTAATGCCCGTATTACATCTGTGTATTTTTCCGTGTATTTATTCATAAAATTCAGGGTGACAACCGAAAAACTTGAAACAGAACATAAATCAGCATTATGAAAAACAAAATAATGTTGGCACCCTGAACTTCATGAATAAATACACGGAAAAATACACAGATGTAATACGGGCATAATAATAGCGTTTTCTTAAAATATCTAAAACATATTCAAATTAAACAGTGGTCCTAGAACAGACAGAACAATATTTGAGGCTTTTCAAAAAACTTCCAAAAGGCCGAAGAAACTTGTAGAAGTAGAATCCACTGTACTTGACGCTTAATACTGTAACTTTTTCTTCTGGAAAATATCCTAATTTTTCTTCTTCGTTGCCCTCCAAGCAATTGAATGAAGAAAATTTTCTTTTCTCTTTCAAGAAAATAATTCACAAATTTATATACTTACCTCTGAACAGCGCTTTGAATGAGTGACTTAATTTTAATTTTTATTTCCTATTTCCATTGACGAACCCTACCAATGTCAACAACTTTATTAACCTTATTTTGAAAAGTTTAATAATCATAATAAATTGTTTTCGGCACCTGTTAACATACGGTTAAAAAAATCATGAATACTACAATTTTATGGTAAATTATGGTAATAGGTAGATAATCCCTTCGCGATTTATTAAATAGCACTTTTACCGAATGAAAAATTAGTTGGTTGTGGTTTTTGCTATAAGTTTAACAAACTGTAGGTAATAATTTAAATATAGTTTCAACTGATCATATAAACCAAAGGACCATTAGTACACAAAATCTCGATCACCAAAAATTTTTTTGGAAATTTGATCGTTTTAGTACCTTATGATGTAGATTTTGGAAAACTTTGAAAGGTCATAACTTTTTTTCTATTATAGATAGAAAGCTGAAATTTTCAGCGATTCTTAGGACTACAATCACTTAAAATTTCAGCTCATTTAGACTTATAGTTCCAGAAATAAAATCGTGTTAAGCAATTTGGGGTGATTTATCAATTTTTCAATTTTTCTGAGTACTTTTTTTCAAAGAATCCGGCTCCAAATCACAGAATAATTTGGTGTATAGAGTTTGAGGGATCCCAAAGGACCATTAAGATACACAATCTCAACAACAACAAAAATTTAAATTTTATCGTTTTAGTACTGAGGACTGAGGTACTTTACCTTATGATTTAGATTTTGGAGAACTCTGAAAGATCATAACTTGTTTTCTATTCTAGATAGAAAGCTGAAATTTTCAGCGATTCTTATCCCAGTAGAGGATTATAGAAAATTTCAGCTCATTTGAACTTATAGTTTCAGAAATAGAAACGTGCTAAGTAATTTGGGGTGATTTATCAATTTTCAAATTTTTCTGAGTACCATTTTGTATAGATTTCGGCTCGAAATCTCAGAAAAAATTAGTGTTGGAGTGGAGAACCGATCATATAAACGAAAAATCTCAACATAAAAAAATTTGAAACTTCATCATTTTAGTACTAATAGTGGTAAGTGGTACTAATTTTGAGTCTCTAATAACACCTTTCAATAACCACTCCAAGAAGAGAAGAAAGAAAATTTCATTCAGATTAACTCCAGTTCAGAAATCTGTTATTTACTGCTTCAGATCAAATTTACTTCTCAGCATAATTTATCACGAAATTTTAAGATGTGACGGAATTATTCACACTACCAAAATATCAATTCTTACATAACATCTCAATTTTGTCACAGTCGGAATAACTTCTTGATATCTTCACCAACTCACTGGCGCCGACTACATGAGGGCATTGGGGGCAGGTGCTACCTAGCTATCTTATGATTTGAATTTTCAAAAACTTTAAAGACTCATAACCTTTTTTCAATTATAGATAGACAACTGAAATTTTCAGCGATTTTTATCCCAGTGGAGGACTACATTCTCTGAAAATTTCAGCTTATTTAGACCTATAGTTCCAGAAATAAAATCGCGTTCAGCAATTCGGGGTATATTTATCAATTTTTCAATTTTTTGAGTGCCTTTTTTCGTAGATTTTGGCTTCAAATCTCAGAATAATTTAGTGTATGGAGTTTGGAGGGATCCTCAATGATCATTTAGACACAAAATCTCAACAATAAAAAATTTGAAATTTCATGATTTCAGTACTAAGGCTACCTTATGATTTGGATTTTTAAAAACTTTGAAGACCCATAACTTTTTTCCTATTCTAGATAGGAAGCTGAAATTTTCAGCGATTCCTTTCCCAGTGAAGGACTACAATCCCTGAAAATTTCAGCGCATTTGGATTAAGTTCCAGAAATAAAATCGCGTTAAGCAATTTGGGGTCAATTTATCAATTTTTCAATTTTCTGAGCGCCTTTTTTCATAGAATTCGGCTTCATATCTCAGAATAATTTAGTGTATGGAGTTTAGGAGTCCCCAATGATCATTTAACCACAAAATATCAACAATAAAAATTTTTAAATTTGATCATTTTAGTACCTACCCAAGCAGCGCTTTTACGTCCTAACAACGTCGTCATTGATGTCTTGACGTTAAGGCGCGACGTCAAATAGACGACTTTACAACCCTTATTTTCACCAAAATGGAGAATCATTTCATGGTTGTAACGACGTCGCAGGTCGCGAGGCTTTACTAATTTTTAACTTATACGTCAGCATACACAACCAGATTTGAACGTTTACTAAACGTCGTAAACCATGACTAACCTAAAAACAAATAACTACCAAACCAAATAAAGGACGTTCCAGGTTTATTATATTGCACCAAATTCGTACTTTTGGTTTATTATTAGTGTTATTTTATTTCCCAACTCATCACATCAAAAACAAAATGAATAGGTATCTATAAGAATATTGGGGGACATAAAATAATAATGGCGCCTGGCCTTATCAACAATAAAATACGTGAAACTAAATATTTAGCTCTTGTAGGCACAAAAACTTCAAACGAAGTCAACTTTTCTGTCAAGTATAATTATGATATGCACACAAAACAAACGGGCTCCTATTTTGTTGATATTTTCCAAAAAAAATAAAAAATCTGTAATTTACATAATTTCTTAAATAGTTCCGACGGGTCAAAAACATCTTTGAGCAAGACCGATTTACACAAAAATAAATAATTTTGACAAAATTTCCTTATTAGGGAATGATTTTTCAGATATTATTTTATTTTTATTAAAAGTGCAGCAATGGCGGATGATTAGATAGGACCTTGCGATATATAAAATGGTCGAGTTGATAATCTACACCTTATCCTAACCTAATGCGTGTTTTCGTCATGAAAATGGACTTAATGTATATAAACATAGGACCATAGGTAATAAAATAGTACAAACATATAAACCTAGATTGACTATAGGTCCCATGAGGTAACCTATCGTAACCAGTTCAGTTCTTTAGGTGGTTCAACGCTCTTATTTATTTGAAATTTTTCAGGAAACTGTAAATGTTTTATTTTTGATGTTCAAAATCTTGAAATATTTCCTTTTAACCCGACATTTATTAAATCTTTTTTAATTTCCTAATTGGAAATTACAAGGTTCTCTTCCAATTTTCCTACTTCTTGCTCCATTTCCTTCATGTTTGGAATACATTTCTCCCTTGTCACTAAATCTAAACAAAAAATTCTTCTTCTGTAATATGTGGATGAGTATTTGAAGCTCCTGTTTTCTCCCATATATCATATCAAAAATACAAAAGCAAATACTTATTCAAATTGTTGAAAACTTTTTATAGTAACGCCATATCTATTGTTTTTTTATGTTTTTATTTGACTGATGACAGTTTATTACCGAACGACGCAAAAAGTATGAAATGCTACACCAACTTTCACCTGTGTCCAATTTTAACGTTGGCCGGACGGTTTTCTAAGACCTTTATCTGACCTCATGATTGGTCGTATCAGACGACGTTTTTAAAACGTTTCAGAGGTCACAGGAAATAAAGATAACGACAGATTGACGTCTTTAATGCAACGTTGAATTTGGTACAATATTATGACGTCTATTTTACGATTTTTATCATACCTTATGATTGGTTGTATTAAACGACGTTTAAAAAACGTTTCAGAGGTCACAAGTATACAAGAGGACGACGGATTGACGTTATCAATTTAACGTTAAAACTGGTTTTCATTTATTACGTCAAAATTGAGCTAGATAAAGGTCCGATTTCTTGACCACATATTAAGGACGACGGCACCACGTAATTTTAACGAACAATCATTGACGGTCACTTATCTGCACTTTTAGCGACGTTGTATTTGGTTAATACGTAGTCGCAGGGTCATGTATGTGCTACTTGGGTACTAAGGTAGCCTTAGGATTTGGATTTTCAAAAACATTGAAGACCTATAACTTATTTTTTCTACTGACGTTTCATAATAGCGACTTTTCGATTGTCATTCTAGTTTTTAAATGGCATTCTTTTAAGCACTAGTGCGTAAAAGTGACACTTTTAGGCACTAGTGCGTAAAAGTGACACTTTTAAGCACTAGTGCCTAAAACTGTCACTCATTGTTCAGAAATAAAAAACACACTAAACACAGATTTGAATTTTGTCTATTTTATCATAAATGTTGAAGATGCAATTATTTGAACTACTGGGTTACTCAAAACAGAACTTTCTGCTGTTTTTTTTTTTTCAATAGGATTTCAATTTTCAATCAAAAAAAATCTCATGAAAGGTGTCAATCAAAAGCAGGTGCCAAACTTTTTTGACGTGATCGGCTCCTATTTACGAGGAATAAAATTATGTTTTTTTCAGTATGAAACGCCAGTAGAAAAAATCTTGTATACAACACGTAACGAAACGATGTCTTTTAGGCACGCGACGTGAAAATTGCCCAACGAGGCGAAGCCGAGTTGGACAACACGTCGAGTGACACTCATTTCGTAACTTATTGTATAAATAGCTATTTTAATATGGTAATTAACTGATATTTTTTTGTGTTTTTTGGCCCATGTGTGGCCGCCACGCCATCTTGAATGTCACGTGGTTTGAATTGCCTAATTATAATAGAATAAAAGTGTACCTACATACTTGGTTAGTAGATGGCTGTGGATGTACTTCAATAATCCAAAAAAATGGAAAAACAAATGACTGAACTAGTGATAAATAAATAAATAAACAATTCACCAACAATCATAACACAACACACAACCTCACTTTCTTACAGCTGGTTTTAGACCCGACGTACGTCCACCGAAAACAGACATTTTTAATAAAAATCATTTGTATTTTTGATTCATAGGTCTAAAAAAACAATTAGAGCATGAATTGAGAAATATGTTCAAAGTTTGACGTATAATAGGTTCAAATACTAAGAAATGCCCAGAACCCAAGATATTCCCGTCTGAAAATCACTCTTTTGAATCCCCCATAAGAAATACATTGCTGTCAAATTTGTTGAAATGTGTTTAGGAACCCATTTTAAATTTCGCGCCCGATTTTTCCTACCCTAACTAATATGGTGAATTGGTAACTTTTTTCGATCATTTGTAAGTGAGGGGAGTAGTTCATTTTGTTTTCGTTTTAAAGTGATCAATACTGGGTTTATAGGCAATAATGCCTGTTCTACCACCCTATAACTTTCCACATTATTAACGTGCATTAAGATTGAATCGAATTCCTTTTGCAGAGTTTTTCTGGATCATCCGAACATTATAATATAATAATGGATTTAGGATAGTAATATTATTACTATCCTAAATCCAAACTACAAAAAATGTAATATTTTTACAAATAATTATTTTCTTGTAAAATGGACTTGTAATTTTGTTTTGATAAAAAAAAAAAAACGATTGAAATAACAATTAAATTCTTGTTCTCGATTTTCTATGCACCAGAGTACGCTGTTCGGCTATTATCGGGTTTGCTCCGGCTGTGACGACTAGACTCTAGTGTAGGACAGTGCTTACCTGCTTACACCTACAGTATTGACTTTAAATCCAACCAGCAACCAAAATACCCATGTTTTTATCGAAATACTTCCGAAATTTTGTTGTTTTCCTCTTCACAATACCCTTCTAACAAGCTAAAAAAAATTAAATCGGGCGTTAAGCAATTTGGGATAAATTTATCAATTTATCAATTTTCCAAGTGCCCATTTTCATAGATTTCGACAAATCTGAAATAATTTAGTGTTTGGAGTTTAGGGGGTCTTAACTGATCATATGAATGCAAAATCTCAACATATAAAAATTTGAAATTTCATCATTCTAATACTAAGGTACTAAGTACTAAGTAAAGTAAAAGTAATAAAGAAACAATTTCAGATGACTTTGAAGATTCTGAAGGCTTTGAAAATTTTCGGTTTTGAGATATTTTGAAACTAAATACTATGGAGATTCTTCAAACTCAATAAATCTTGGGCTTCTAAATGCGTTGAAGCTCATCATTGGGGATTAACGTCTGTGAAGACACAAAACTTTTGCCTTTATAAGCACTACAGAATTTAAAGCAGAAACACCACGGAAGATTTGAAAAAGAAAATATAACTCTCGACTCTGTGCAAACTAAAGACTTGAAAAACTTTCGATGCGCATCATTGAAAATTGAAATTTTTTGTATACCATCCGCGGATTCCAAGAATATAGGTAGGTACCTACTTCTGCATACGCGACTTAAAAATTTACAATCTGGGTTCACAAATGCGTTAACTACCTACATAAGTTGAAAGAAAATACAAAATAAAACAATACATTTAACCAGAGAAGAAAAAAAACTAAAAACCATGAGTTTAATTAATAATCTAATTGGAACTTTAATGGTTGTTGTTCGTTTTAAACGCCCAAACTTTTATAATCGATTTTCTTTTATGCCAAACATAAAACTTTGTATGTTGTGTGCTATAAAATAGTTCCGCCTTGTTTTTTTTTTTTTTTTGTCAAAAGAATTTTCCAGACTTAAGTGATTTAATGATTCAAAGTTTTACAATATAATGCTTCGTAAAAATCACTGAAACAAAATTTTCTCGCAAAATGAATTTTCAGCAGACGTGAATCAATTCAACACCGTTTTATAAATTACTCACTTTAGACTTTAAACCAAACGTACGCCAATGTAACTCTTTGAATTATAAAAGAAGCGTTCTCAAACAATAGCTTGGTAGAGTAGATGAGTAGTTGTTCTTTGAGAATAATTCCACGACCCAAGGCTATTTCCAGAAAAGAAAACACTTTTGTTGCGAGAAGATGTGACAAACGCATAAAGGAATAATTTTTTTTTGTTTTGTTGCAGATTCAAAATGCCGGCTACAAGAAATTGCCTGGTGCACGCTTTTATAGTTGGATTTTGTATAATTGCCAAAGCTTCAGCGTGCCAAAGACAAATTTTAAGTAAAATAATTATTTGATAATTTCACAAACAGATTTAAATTAATGTTTTTATTCAGGATCCAATGGGGTTACGGAACAAGAAAAACAAATCATCATAAATGATCACAATAAAATGAGACAGAGCGTGGCTTTGGGACAAATTGGTGGACAGCCACCTGCATCAAATATGATGGAAATGGTAGTGTTTTTTTTTTTTCGAATAGGACAGTAATTTTTTTTCAAATTTAGAAATGGGATGACGAGCTGGCAAATAGGGCGCAATGGTGGGCAGCATCGTGTCATTCGGAACGACATGACGAGGGTCGACACAACTGTAAGTAGTGTAGGTTTTTTTATTAGACAATAGTGTTCAGAGGATGTTCTTTTAGATTGGATTTCTGGATAAAAATGTCTTTTAAATAGAATTAGAAAACGACTATTTTTTCCCTTGATAGAGCAAGATTTTTTTATGTTGCTATTTTTCATCGAATCAATTTGAAATCTCAGTATGATGAGCTTATTTTCTTTCTATTTTTATTCCAAAAGTTTCAAAATTTTCCCATTAACAATTTTTCGAAAAATCATCAAAATGTGAAATGCTGCATTTTACTTAATTTTTTTTCAAAATTTTCTCATGTTGCTAGTTTTCATCTTTTTTTTTTTAAGTTGCTTTTCATGATTTTTTCATGTAATCTTCTTCTTCTTCTTCTTCTTCTTCATTCAGCAACCCTTCACAGTCCACTCCTGGACATAGGTCTTCCCTATATTCTTCCATGTTTTTTTTCTCCTGTGACAGTTGGTGCCATCTGTTGCCCACTTTGTTTTTGATATCATCAAGCCAGTGTAACTGTGGTCTGCCAACGCTGCGTTTATGTATGCAAGATCTCCATTGAATGATGCGTATTGACCATCTCAAGTCATCCTGTCGAGCAACGTGTCCCACCCAGCTCCATTTCAGATGGGCTATACGTGATATGACATCTTGAACCTTAGTTCTCTGTCTAATACTCTTGTTTGTGATGTGGTATCTAAGGCTTACTCTCAACATCATCTGTTCTATGGCTCTTTGGGTGGTCCTGAGCTTAATAGCTGATTTAACAGTGAGTGTCATGGTTTCCATTCCGTATAAATGTCATCACGGGCAATAAGCAGGTATTGAAGACCTTTCTTTTCAAATTTATTGGGATAGTTTGATTTCTCAATACGTGTGACAGTTTACCCGTGGCTGCCCATGTCAAACAAACGCGTCTGTTTACTTCGGCGGTTTGATTTTCTTTGCATAATTTGATGCAATGTCCCAGATAAACATATTATTCGACGTCAACTATATGCATTTGTATATTGTCAGGTATCATGACTTTTCTAGCAAAAAAGTTTTTTCCGGGCTATAATGCCGTGGTCCATTAGTATTTCTACCTAACGTTTCGTCTACTGCTGCGGTAGACATCTTCAGAGGCGGTGTGGTAGAGGACGAAGTGTTCTCTTCCGTGTTTCTCCGATGACTGAATTCGATGTTGAGGGAACTGCGTTATTTATATCCAGGGTTGTGGGCGTGGCTTGGATTACGGTATTTTCCTTGTCTCGTTCTCGGAAAGGAAGGGTCTTTGTTTTTCGGAGAACTGGCAACCAGCTTTTATTGAGGTTCATGCCCTCTTCTTTTCTGTTGAAGTTGTTGTGGTGTTTCTGTATCTCTATGGCTTCTCTGTGGAGCCTGGTGTAGAAATGTTTGGTTCTATCCAATGTTTGAGTCTGGTCGAAACGAATGACATGGTTTGTTTGTGTAAGCACGTGTTCGGCGATGGCTGATCTATCTATTTGTCCTTGCTGACAGTTTCTTTTGTGCTCTTTGACCCTGGTGTTGATAGAGCGGTTGGTTGTTCCTACATAGACAGATCCACAAGAGCAGGGAATTCTATAGACGCCAGCCGATTCAAGAGGTGCCCTAGGATCCTTGGCCGATCTTAGACTTTGCTGAATTGTTCTTGTGGGCTTGTAGATAGGCTTAACGTTGTGTCTTTCTAGCGTTCGTCCTATGCGATCTGTGACATTTTTGATATAGGGAAGAAAGGCTCTCCCTGCCACCTGTGCTGATTCCTTCTTAGTTGTGCGCTGCTGCTTCGGTCTTATGGCTCTATTTATCTCCTGCTTGGAGTACCCATTTCCTTCAAGTGCCGATTTTAGGTGTTGCATCTCGTCCTGAAGGTATCTGGGTTCACAAATCCGGATTGCTCTGTCAGATAGAGTTTTAATGACTCCTCTCTTTTGCCTAGGATGGTGATAAGATTCCTTGTTGAGGTATCTGTCCGTATGTGTCGGCTTCCTGTACACTCTGTGTCCCAGTTTACCTGAGGGTAATCTTTCTAAGAGGACGTCGAGGAGGCATTATAGCCCGGAAAAAACTTTTTTGCTAGATTTGACCGGCCGTGAAAGCCTTCATTCTTTATCATGACTTTTGTTCTATTTAATTTCATGGTCAATCCTATTCTTTCAGATTCTCTTTGAAGTTCCTCGAACATCTCTTGTAATTCCGTTATATTCTGGCTTAAGACTACTATATAATCTGCATAACGTAGGTGGCTCAGAAGCCGTCGACCTTGATGCCTTTCTTATTCCAGTCTAGAGCTTTGAAAACATCTTCCAGTGGAAGTGTGAACAGCTTTGCGGAGATGATGTCCCCCTGTCTTACTCCTCTTTTGATTTGAATTTTATTTGTTTCTATTTCTTCCGTATTATTGACGGTGATTGTCGCATTTTCATATATTTGTTTGAGAAGCTGTCTGTAGCGAGAGTCGATATTTGCATTGTTCATTGCCTTAAAAATAGCCCGCAGTTCTACACAGTCAAACGCTTTGTTATAGTCCACAAATGCGAGGTGTATCGACTCGTTACATTTTTCTATTATCGTGCGAACGGTTTGTATGTGTTCTATTGTGCTATGACGTTTACGGAAGCCAGCTTATTTCGGGGGCTGATAGGCATCTAATCTAGTTGTAAGTCTATTTGTTATCATCTTTGTCAGAAGTTTGTATGCGGTGTGGGAGTAAACTAATAGGCCGATAGTTGTCGATTCTTAACTTATTTCCCTTTTTGTACAGTAAAATCACCTGAGCATTTTGCCATCTTTAGGGTATTATGCCCTCTGTTAGACATTTATTAAGAAGAATTTTCATTGATTCTACAGTAGTGCTTCCATCAAGTTTTATCATTTCCGCTGTAATTCCATCTTCCCCTGGTGTTTTACTGTTTTTCATTTGGGACAATTCTAGTTCAACTTCTTGCATGGTGATGTTAGGCAGGTCTTCGGAGCCCACATTAAGAATCGTTTTATCAACCTCGATTGCTTGTTCTGGGCTGTTTGCAGTATATAGTGTGCTGTAGAAATTTTCTATGATATCCATTAAATCTATTTTGTCTTCTTTGATGTTTCTGTTTGTGTCCTTTAGTTGGTGTATTTGGAGGCGACCATTATTGTTAAGTGTTTTAAGTATTTTCAAGTTTTTGTTGTTTTCGATAGTCGTTGTTATCATTTTTGTGTTGTACTGCCTCAAATCTTCTCTTGTATTCTCTTTTATAGATTTGTTGATTTCGTTATATTCCAGAGTACCTTTCTTCAAGTTTCTTCTCTTCGCCATGAGTTCTCTGGTCTCCTTTTTTATTTTTGAATTATTTTTCTTGGTAGTGGTGCATATCTTTTTGGTTGACATTTTAATGTTAGTCCTTATTCTATTTTCTAGGTGGTCTATATTTAAGCAGTTCAGTGCTTCTTTGTTGGACAATTTCTTGTTGGGTTCAGTATGGTATTTTTGAAGGTTTTCTTGAATTGTTTCTGTTGTGGGAAATGGTTGTATTTTGATTAGCTTTTTTTGTTCTCTTTCCACGTTTATTTCTATTTTAGCTCTTACCAACCTAAGATCACTACCAGTGTCAAAGCGATTTAGGGCCAATACGTCTTTTACAGTAATCTTTTTATTGAAGACGTAATAGATCTCGTTTTTAGTATTTGAGTTCGGGCTTCTCCATGTCCAACGTCTCTTTTCTGATTTTTTGAAGGAGTTCATGCAGTATATCCTTTTTTTTTTGGAGATAATTGATAAGTCTTTCTTCTTGTTCGTTGATAGAACCCAGTCCAAATTTGCCCACATATTGACTTCGGTTATCCGTTGGTACTTTTAGTTTGGCATTAAAATCGCCAATTATGAATTTGTAGTGTGCTGTTTCTATTGCCAACGCTTGTGAAATGTTATCGAGAAGTTCTCTATCTCCTCATCAGGGGCAGAGCTTGTAGAGGCATATACTTGAATTATTTGGACACTATATCTTTCCGATATTTTCAATGCCATGTAAATGAGTCTATGCGATATGGATTTCATCTTAGTAACGAGCTGCTTTATGCTTTTATAAATCATTATCGCTATTCAGCTAATGTGTGAATTTTCCTCCCTGTTGCTTCGATACAAAAGGTGGCCTGATTTCAGTGTGATGCATTTTTCGTCAGGTAATCTAGTTTCCCATAGGCCCAAGATGTTCCATAAGTGTACGCCACTGGTATGTAAAAGGGTGCATTCTTGAAGTTGCTATCAAACTTTTCAAAAATGATACCAATCTTTCATTCCAAGCCCTTGCAGCTTGTTTAAATCTACATGTAGACATATTTGGCAAGATAAGTCCGTTAAATTAATGTCCAAATCAAGCAGGTTATTTGATAATATATACTCCTTCATTGAAATAACCATGTAAAAACTCATCTGAATAAATAGGAATCAAGACATTGACATAAATGGCTAACTTTTATCGAATGAGCAAATGGTACTTATTATATTTTACAATGCAATCAAAACTTTTTCTGTGAAGAAATCCTTTGGTCATCTATCTAGATTTTGTATCGATTCAAATTTCCATCATCATGTTTATTTCAACTTGAAAATTCTGTGGAAGAAATTTTTCTTCTAACCAATTATTAGTGAATCTACTCCTTCTTGAACAACTTCCATAATTTTTTTTGACGTCATCTCTCTTCCTCATTTTAAAAACTTACTGTGGAACATTGTTGAGGAACGATGTTTTCTCAAGATTGCTCCTTGCCATTGGTTCTTTTTTTATATCATCAACTTCCTCAAATTTCATCTGAGTTTCTTGATTGTTCTCGTGTATTTTCAAAATTTTCTTCTCCAACAAGGATTTCTTAACTCGTGTTCTCGATACTTGAATTGAACTTCAAATCCATAGGTATCTCCTTACCCTTTTTCCTGAATTTGTAAGGAATTCTTAGCTTGGCAGGATAATTATGAAAATATTAATTTGACATCATAACCTTCATGGATTTTCTTCTCTTTA